AAACTCAGGGGTGAAGTCTAGTTGAAGGAGAAAGGTCACAGGGTCATCAATTTGGGGCCATATCTTGTCCTGAGCCCTTCCTCCCCCTACCCTGTCTTCCTCTTCTCTTTCATTCCTAGCTGCTATGAAGTAAACAGTTTCTTCCTCTATAGGCTCACACCACCATTTCCTTCCTAACCTCAGGCCCAAAGCGATGGAGCCGTTAACCACGGACTGACCCTTCTAAACTATGAGCCAAATTAACCTCCCTGCTCCTCTAAGCTTTCTCAGGTATCTTCCCAGAGCAACTAAAGCTAACACATATCTGGCTGTATAGCCAAAGAAAATAAAGTCAGCACTTCAAAGACATGCCTATATTCTCATGTTTGTTCCAATATTCACTTTTAAAACTTGACTTACAACCTAAGAATTTATGAACATAATACATTTTAAAGCCAAGACTAACAATCTGCAAAAGAAAAGGTTATTTTCTTTATCTTCAAGTTTTACTTTTCAAGTCAACCATATTCAACTTCTCAACTTTTTGTATTTACCTTTATTTTTTCATGTCACAGCTGTCTACGTAGCTATTTTTTTAATTTTCTATTTTATACTATGTACTTCCTATTATGGGTGGAGAATTTGACTTTTTTTCTTTTCTCATTGTTGTATGCCTATATCTGCCTCTCTGGCTTTCTCATCTCTCTTCTACCCATCATTCTAATATAATTATATTACAATTTTAAATAATGCAATGTTTAAATTATCACATTAAGTAGTTTACACAGAAAAGCTCTTATTATTCAGAACATGCTTTCTAATATTATTTTTTCAGATCTTAATAAATGCCTTGGTATTTTTACATTGCTTAGTTTCCTGATTACTTTGAAGTCATTCTGAAAGTCTTTAATAATACTGAAAATTCCTTTCATTATGGTCAGATCCTATGGGTCATCCATTAATTCCACTTCTACTCAGGAGGCAGCTGTTCAGCCTTGGAGTTTTCTGACCCATTCCAATCTGAATGGTTTGTTGCCCAGCAATCCTAATCTCCCTTTACTATAATTCCAGGCATACTTTAACTCTCTCTTCTGTGACATCCATCACTGCTGGAACTTCATGTCTTTGTGTCTTTCTTGATTTACTCCTACCCTTTGGTGGAGTTTAATCTGTAGGAACTTCTAAGACAAACCACACAAGGCAGATATTTTTGAAACCTCTTTTCTGACTGAAAATATCTTTATTCCTCTCTCATACTTGACTGGTGGTTTAGGTAGATTTAAAAAGAAAAAAGCTCTAGGTTCAAACCTTATTGTTTTCTTTTAATACAAACTTTATTTTTATTAATTAACTTATTATTATTATTATTATTTTGCATTTTAGTACAGAGTCTACAGGGTTTTCAGGGTCTCACTATGTAGATCAGACTAGTAGTGATCTGCCTGTGCAGCCTCCCAGAGCTGGGATTAAAGGTGTTCACCACGGTGTCCAGTCTCAATTGCAGTCTCAGTGCACCCCAGGGTGGGCGTGGGGCTGGAACGGCAGGCCAGGGAATGAACCCCCCTCTCCCCACCCCCTGCCCCTGAGTCTGCCTAAGCAAGCACTGTAATCTGCTGAGCTATTTGACCGGCCCTTAAGCTTTATTACTTTCTAGCTTTCATCAATGTTGAAAATACAACATCATTCTTGTTCCTAGTGCTTTATAAATGATATTTTATTTTCTCTAGATTTTTTTTATTATTTCTTTGATCAATTCCTTTTTACTCATCTTCCCTAGAATTTCTATCAGTTAGATACTGGATCATCTAGACTAATCATTTTGGGTTTTTTATTAATTTTATAAAAATTCTCCCAAACTTTCTCAAATTTACTATGAAGTTTTTACTTTTGCTATTAAAATTACAATTTCAAGTGTTTTTTTTCTTATTCCTATATATACCTCTTTCTTTGTTTTTAGAGGGAATATTTTCTTAGATATTCTTTAACTTCTTTTTTTGAGACAGGGTCTCACTATACAGTTCAGGCTGGCCTTGAACTCACTTTGTAGCCCAGGCTGGTGTCAAATCCACAATGATCTTCCTGCCTCAGCCTCCTGAGTGCTTGGATCACAGGCATGTACCATCACACTCCACTAAGATTTTAATACATTTTGAAAATTTCCTTACATTGCTTCCTGAATCTTTTGTATGTTTGGATATGATATCTCTCTGACTCTGTCTCTACCTCGATCTGTCTCTCTCCCACCCACTTATCCCATCCCCACAAATATCTTCAGATACTGCCAGCCATCCAGTTAGATGTTCATATCTAAGTGTATAATACATTTTCAAAGTTTTAAAAATTATTTATTTATTTATTTGGTACAGGGGCTCGCTACAAAGTTTGGACTTGTAGTGATCCTCTTGTCTCAGCCTCCCCAGCACTAGGATTACAAGTATGCACCATGACACCCAGTTTTGGCGGCCAACACAGTGTGCCCAGGGCAGGCATGGCATGTGGTACCAGGGAGCAAACTTGGGTTCTTGCACTTGCTGGGCAGGTGCTTAGACTGCCAAACTATCTCCCCATCCCTAAGTGCATAATATTAAAAACCAACTTAAGCTTTCTTTGGATTCAGTGATTATCAGGGCTCTCCCCTGCTGTTTTGTTGGGAGAATGTCAGTAGGATTCTTGGGCTGATAAGAGACCTTAAAAAGATATCTGCTAAAGGGGTCCATGTCGTTCCTCAGTATCAGTATGGACAATATTATAGAGGCCAAGTAGGGGTAGTGTCTGGGGATTTCCTCCTCCATCAGGCAAACTTTCACTGTGTTATTCTGTTTTCACATATTATAGCACTCTGCCTTGATTCAGGAAAGAATCCACTGGTGGTGCTCATGGAAGGAAAAGGACCTAGGGTCCTTCTTCATGCTGTTCACTAATCCTATCTTCATCTGCACTTGCATCCTGCCTTCAGAAGTAGCTGTGGCTTCTGTGAGCTTCCCTACCCTGCTCCTTCCCCAAATGCCTCTTAGGCAGTTAACTTCCAGGTTTGTTGTCTACCACTCATCCATCTGCTTTCTATTTTTCTTTAAACTACAATACTTTGGGAGTGTGCCCCACAGGAATAGAAACCACGGGAAGAAGAGTGGCCCACAGGCTGGCTGGGGAGAGAGGCTACCTGAGCGAGGGAAGCACAGAAGGAACCTGGTGCAGACTCAGGGCAAAGGGAACACCATCTGGGCTGAGACCTGTGAGCAGGAGGGGAGCAAACAGGGCAGATGGCGCTGGCTGCAGGCGCACAGGCTGAGAGGAGCACGGCTAGCTGGACTCTAAGCCTCAGAGCTCTTGGCCTCTTCCTTCTTCTCATTTGCTTTTTTCTGCTTCTGCTGCATGATCTCTGAGTCCCTCTGCTTATGAGCAGGAGCAGAAAGCCACCAACGTTATCTTAAGTTGCCCCTTAACTGAAATATTCTTTTTTTATATTCTGGCCATGAGCCCCGCAGGTCACAGCTCTAGCCTGCCTGCATCGTGTCCCCTCTTTCTGCCCAACATTGCAGACCTGCTTTCTATCTTTTGAAATTCACTGGCAGCTTTCTAATAGTCCTTTTTCTTGTAGATTTATATCAGCTTTATTTCTTCACCATTATTTTAGTGTGACTCCAGATGGAGATAAATGTGTATTTTCGTTCCATATTCCCAATGTGCATTTCTATAAATCATTTCGTCTAGAAGGGAAATTTAAATATAACCTACCCAAACTAGTGTTACCTACCTTTTCTTGTAGTGGCACCATCATTTTGAAGATATACTTTTATATGAAATCCAATTTCTACAACAGGTAAGTGTGAAGACAATTTTGGTTTCGACTAGCAAATGAAAAAGGTCTGTATTTAATTTCTTCTGAAAACATTTAAAAATATTTGTCAAGGGCCCTTTCTATGTCCGACATGGTATTAGACTAGAAAAACAGACATGAACAGGAAATATATAGCTTCTCACCCACGCTGCTCAGTACACTTCCCCCTGCGCAGTACTGGACATGTCCAGGGAACCTACTTAAAGAATAACCAACTCAATCTGAGAACCACAAGGGAAAAGTAACTTGATCAAAGGAAATCCTCCTGCATTTTCTAGACCATTCTTAGGACTTACGTGGACTGTACTTAATAAAAATTACTATATGCAATTAAACAGTTGACAAGTCAAAGGGAAAATGAGTTATGCTATGACTGTTTGCACACAGGAATGTGGCATAGTAAGTGAGAAAAAGGCTATTGATTGTGCATAAAGTTCCTAACAGCAATGAGCAACCCCCCCAAAACTTGTTCATCTTTACTCCTGTTGTTCCCTTTGAAGAGATTGCTTTTGATTATACAACTAAAATTCCTACAATAAAAACTCAAAATCAAATTCAAAAGAAAAAATTCTCAGCCCTTGTGACCTAGAACCTTTAAGAACTATTGTGTGAAAATTTACTGTGTAGTGCTAGAAGTTATCACAGGCTTTTTGGATTTAAGAAAAAGAAGAAACTGAGAAATAAGGTTTCATCCTTGAAGCACAGAAATCCCATTTATAGAGCTCGACAATATTAAGAAAAAAAAACAGCTTTGTTTTTCAGACCAAATCCCTTCCAGTGACTGACTGACCTTCAGAGTGAAGGCCCTTTCAGCTTGACTGAACATGATCCACTTCTCTAGGACCAGTTAGGTGGTAGAAGAGATCCCTCTTCCAGAGACTGTAAACCTATACTGCATACTGCTGGGCCACACTGGATCACAGGCAGTTGCCAAATTTCAATAGTTTCATCCTTGGAGACAGAAAGTCAGTGGTAATAATAACAACACAATTAAAAATAAAAATAATAAAATTCTTCTTTGACTTTCCAGCCCACCAGGCAGTCACTCAACCTCTATGGGCCTCATTGCCCCACCTGTGTAATTAAGAGTCTGCACCAACTATCTATGGTTCTTCCTGAACTTCTTGGACATTTCAGTAAAATCAGCACATGTCACTGCGGTTCAGACCTGGAAGCAACTTACCAAGAGAGGTGCAACCCAGGACACTTTCCAAACACTTAGCCAATGCTTCAATGTCACTGTCCTGTCAAAACAAGAGGGGACTATTTATTTTCTCCATATAGGGAAAGAATATTTAATGACACAGAAACATATTCTTACTCTACTTAGACAAAAACAAAAATATGATTTTTTTTCAAAATTATTTTACAAGTTTTAAAAGAAAAACAGCCTCTCTTATTTTATTTCTCTCCATATCACTATCACTCTGTCTTTCTGTTACGATGTTAAAAGCTACAACTATTAATAGTAGCTTTGACCAAAAAGTGAGATTGTGAGTGATCTGTATTTTCTCTTTTGTGTGGTATCTTTCCCAAATTTTCCACAGTAAGCAAATTTGCTATGGAAAATTTGTAAAAACAGTAAATATTATTAGAATTTTAAAAAAGAGATTTTATTCAATCAATAATTTACCCCACACATCAGGAAATAAGTGAAGATTTTTCTGGAAAGTATCTTTGCCACTTCTTCTTTAGAATGTTTGGCCTTCAAGGAATCATAATTTTAAGAATTATACTTCTCTCATCTATCTTATCCCTCCATAAGAGTCAGACAACCTCTATAAAAGCTGAAGGAATCCCAGAACTATATTTTATAACTTATGTCATCTTCAATGCAAAGTAAATATCTGTCCTCCAACTAGAAGGCTGGAAATAATCCAAAATACATCTTAATGATCTAGGAAAATGGAACCTTTTATTTTCAGGTTTATAGTCATCCTCAGGGAAATTAATAATTCATGGTTCACCTGCTCCATTTCAAGTCAAGTAACAAATTTCACAGTGAAGTCTGTTGATTTCAGAAAAATGTACAGTTACACACATAAATGTGTTGCATTTCATTTTATGACATCTGGTAAGGTCAGGGTAGTTACTTTGTATGTGCATGGTAAAACCCATCATCATTTCATGATAAGAATGTATAGAAAAGGCAGTGGACCAGTGATAATGTTCATATGAATATACGGGAATAAAGTAAATAAATAAAAATAAAAGAGAGAGAAAGAGAGAGAGAGAGAGAGAGAGAGAGAGAGAGAGAGAGAGAGAGAGAAGAAAAGGCAGTGGATCAGAGAAGGCATGCCTGTTAATGTTGGTCAATGAGGACAAACACTGAAACTTGGTGCCTAGCCCAAGAATAGAGAGGCAGGTAGGTCCCAGGCATAGGGCAGCAAAACAGACTCTCCTTCACCTGCACACTTGTGCTGTGCACACTTATGAGGATATTCTTGGATCACAAAGGAACTCATCAGAGAGGCATCCTCAGTCAGAAGGAGCAACCGTGCATGTGCAGGGAAGGACAGCAGCCAGGGGAATTGAGGTTCTAATCCCAGGGTCTCCATTAGCATGGCCTCCCCCAGTGGCTGGACTTTCCAGTTTCTACTCACTGCATTTGTGGAAACTAGGGGGTTGTCTTAATCCATCTGCACTGTTCTAAGAAAATGTCATAGACTGGGTGGCTTATCCAAAACAGGAACATATTTGTCATGATCCAAGAGGCTGAAAAGTCCAAAATCAAGGTACCAACAGACTTACTTGATAGTTAGTGCCAGTTTCCTTGTTTATGATGACACTTCTTTGTGTCCTCACATGATAGAAGAGAGTTTCCCTTAGGCTATTTTATAGGACAGTATTCTACTCCTGAAGGCAGACCCCTCCCAGAAGGCTTCATAGCCTTATACCACCACAAGGTGATTACATTAGAGCACATGAAAAAATTCAGTCCATGGCAGGAGCTGACTCAGATGATGGTTAAGAGACTTCTAGCTCCACAATTCTGTTCTTCCAGTACAAATGTCAATGGATGAGAGTGATAGAATTACTTCCAAGTATGGCTACATCCCTGTATTCTTAGCCATTCCTCACATGAAGAGGGAGAGTCTCTTTCTCTGCCTCCTGAACTGGCCAGGAAACTTATTTTGGCCAATAAAAAATGTGGCAGAAGTGATGTTATATGAGTTTTACAAGTAGGCCTTGAGAAGTTATGCAACTTCCATTTTTAATGTCTGGGTTGCCAATAACCACAGAAAGAAAGCCAGGATAATCCACTGGAGGGACCACAGCATGAGAAGCCCTGAACCATGGGACATCTGGGAGGCAAACAGGAGTCTGAGGAGCCAATAACTGCACCAGCTATAAGACGTGCAGGCCAGGTCCACTAATCATCCAGCATAATCTCCATGCAATGATGAGGCCACCGGGGCCCCAAATCTAAGCTCCAGCTGAGGGCAATCACATGAGTGACCTTAAACAATATCACACGAAGCAGAAGACAATGCACAGAATCACAGAAAACAACAAATTCTTGCTTTAATCCACTAAGTGTTGGGGAGTTTTTTACACAGAGAAAGGTAACTGACACTAAACTAAGGCCTAGTAGACTAAATCTACTTATCAAGCACTCTGTAGCTTTTATGTCCCTGGAACTTAGCACAGGTTGATGAGAAGTGCGACATACACAGCAGTGCACCTCTTTCAGCTTCTGCAATTTGCAAGGAAGTGCAACACAAGAGCGGCATCCAGCCCTTGGGCAGCAGTCTGTCTCGTGCTAGAGAGTGGGAATTCCTTCCAAGTATATAATTTAAGTATATAATTCAAAGTATATAATTCCTGGGAAAGTGAGGGAAAACATACTGTTTCATAATTCTATAGCCTCAGCCATTTCAGTTCATCCCTCAAACTGAGTTTTCTCAATTGCAAAGCAAGAAAAATCATAATCGTAATCTAGTGCTGTTAGGAGAACCAAACTGAAATAATAATTTATAAAACCTTTAATCTCATGTGTGGCTCATTGGAAATACCAAATGAATAGAAGAAGAGAGTTGGGTGAGATGGGATAAGATGAGAGATGGATAGACACAGAATACTAAGGGTTCCCAGTCACTGCTTTGCCTTGCTACAGAACATGAAGATTCTCAGTAACTGATTAAGTTGAATCAATACAATAGAAACAGTAAGGTTCATAGGCAGGGTGGTAGGAAGTATGCGGGTGACTGGAGCACATCATTCATCTCTTATTGCAAAGGTTAGGGGACATTGTACAGGGTGTGGGAAGAGCAGAAATAATCAACACTACTGACTAAATTGGAGATTGAATACTAATAGCATGTGTTACTGTTATATCAATACATGTAATTAGGTCATTCAAAGTCTATGAGGCAGTGTTATTTTTCTCCCTCACTTAACAGTTAAGAAAATAAAAGCATGAAAAGTTGCCATAATATGGCCAAGGCTGCATAACTAGTAAGAGATGAAAAGAGACAGGACTCCAGAGCCTGTTGTGTTCTTAGTCACTAAGTTACATATACACATAGGAAAAGACTGAGCTCTTAATCCAAAGAAGCACACAGTGTTGTTGAGCACACAGAATACAAACTCATAATGCAGCTGGGGGACAAGAGCAACTAAGGAAAGCCTGGGTGAAGAGGAGTAGGTTCCTCAATGGGACTTCCAACTGCAGATTCTGAAGAGTGGCTTAGTGGAACATCAGCTCTCTGGCTAAAGATGGCTCTGTGTGGAAGCGAAGGGAAGCACTCACGCAGTGAAGCAAGCAGATGGCATTAAAGGTGGGTGGGCAGCTGGACCCCTGCCAGCTTCCCTTCCTGCCCCTGTGGACCATGTATCCATTCAAAGGTCATGGACAATGACTAAGCTGAACTATATTCCCAGCAAGGGGCAAGTCTAAACTTCAAATAGTGGTGTAAGAACTAAAACTGCCCTTGTACCTACTTAAAACTTTTTAACATTTTGAAA